CGCCACCGCGGGTCCGGGCGGCGCAGGGGCGGGGCCCGATCAGCTCCCGGCGGGAGCGGCCCCCCGCTTGTACCTTTAAGGCCTTGGGCTCGCTAAAGATGAGCCCCCCGCCGTGGATGAGGTCCTTAGCGCAGCCCGCCGGACCGACGGCTAACGCGGAGCAGGCGCGTAGAGGGGAACGGGAGCTGGCTGCGTTGGAGCTGTCCACCCCACAGGCCATCCATAAACTCCAGCCCTCCTGTACAAATGTCCTTCCGCTCCTTTTCTAACTGGTGCCGATGCCACCTGGATTGAGGGTGGAAATAGTGATGGTGTCCTGGCCCAACTTCCTCGTGAGTAGGGGTCTGTGTCGGACCTGCAGTGTAGTGTGTGGGGATGCACGCATGTGCACGTGGGCGAGGGCAAATACTGCCGTCGTCCTGGAGACTCCAGGTGAACCTACTCTCAGGGGGGACACATAGTTAGAGCTCTAGGGAAAAGCAGGCACAAACTCCAAGCGACTAAAGGGACACAGTAGGCAATTAGGGGTTCATCCGAAGGCCAAGCCAAGAGGAGCCAAAGCCTGGTGACAGGTACAGAGGTTCTTTGAGCTAAATCAAAGGTTGGGGAATCCATCTCTGACTACTTTCCTCCCACTACTCAGTGATCTGCAGTGTTCTGCTGTGCTATCCCAGCCTATGGGGACATCCACATTGTACAGGGAATGAGAAACCAGGATTAAGGAATGGGAGTCAAGCCAAGAGGAAGGTGCTGGTCCTGGGAAGAGCTGAGCCCTGGACCCACATCCCCATCAGGTGAATGAGCAGGGCCCAGCATGAAGCCAGCTTTCCGGGGCAGTCGAGGCCCCTGGGGCAGCTACAGCATCAGGCTAGGCACAGTGCGGGCAAAGAAAGGAGCAGGCAGGTTTGGTTAAGGATTCTGTCATTTCTTTATTGGGGCAGGGATGAACATCATTCGGTAGAGGTCTTTGTGCTGGTCTGTGTGCATCATCCACGCAGATGGACATAGACAGAGACACCATGCCAGTGCTTTGGGGCCAAGGTCAAGCTCTTCTCACAGGGGAATTGGAAAGAGGCTGCTTCAGATTCTGAGGCTGTGGTCTGACTCAGGAGGGAAGCCACTGGTCCCAAGCCTGGGTGTAGCTGACAGTGCTGGGGTCCAGGCACTCCGCCGGGAGGAGCTGGGGTTGACAGAGCAGACCGTTCCCCTCCCCATCCTGGGCTGGTGGTCAGGTCCAGCCCTGCCCGAGGCAGGTTCTCAGGCATCTTGTGGCCTCAGCCTGGAGACCCTGAGTGCTTCAGGGCCCACCTGGGCCCTTTTCATGCCAGGCACATCAGAGGACAACTCTACGGTCCAGGTGATCCCCACGCCCGCTGCGCTGGTGCCTTACTTCCAGGTGCTGTCTCTGGACTTTCTCAAAGTGCTGCAGGAGCTCTGTGTAGTCGATGCTGGGGGAGTCCCCTTTCTGGGACTTGGGGGCAGCTTTCAGACTGTCTCTGGGAAGATGGGAAGAAGTCAGAATCAGTATCTGCATCATGGCAGGCTCTGGTGGGAGTCTGGTAGGGCACGTGTGTCCCTGCCCAGCAACACCTTTACTCCAGCCAGACCCACAGTGCTTGGGGTCCCATGTCTACCCCCTTTCCTGCAGCTGGTGGGAACAGCCAATACACTGCTTGGATATCTCTCAGCCTGTGGGCTGTTGATGGCGCCCAGAGCAGGCATTGCATGGGGAAGCATTTCCTGTTTACCAGTGGCTCCCTTTGGGGTGAGAGCCAGGGCTAGCAGCCAGCCAGGAAGCCAGCTGGGGCCTGGAACAGGGTCTGGAGAGAAGGGGGAGGTAGCAGCCAGCCCTTTCTCAGTGGCATGGCTGGTGCTGCTGACAGCTGGGATCACTGAAGTCTCTGCTGGACCTGCAACCCGGCAGGGCACTGGGTCCCAAGGCCTGCAGTCACTGCTGTCCCCAGAGAAGAAGAGCTTATCTCACCAGTGGACAGGCCGATGGCACCTAATCCCACTGCTCCCATTCTCCTTGGCTGTCTGTACAGCCGCATAGGCTGTGCACGGTCTATCCACAGTGCACATGGTCCTCCCAACTCTTTGATGTACAGCCTTGGTGCCTCACATCAACTGTGTCAGCTTGCCACCCAGGTCCCTGTCCCCTTCCTGTCTCTCCAGCACAGCCTTAGGCACCCCCATTCCCCCTTCCCTCACTGGCCTGGAAGCCCTGGCAAAGGGTTTCATGAAGACTGAGGGCCACTCAGCTAGGCAGACTTCCTGGGACCTTTGAGTTGTAAAGAGTTCCCGGCATGGCTGGTGCTGCCAGCGGCTGGGGAATGGAGCTAGGCAGGCCTGGCCTAGACATCTGACCTTGGGCACGTGACTCCACTTCCTAATCTGTAAAGGAGCCATGCCATGGTGTGGATCTAAGGTCCCTCCTGGTATTACATGGAAGACTTGCCTGGTGTCCAGCCCCAGCTCAGGTATGAGACGGGCAGCTATACACAGCTCTGCCACCCCGAGGAGAGCAAGCAGCCCAAAGCCTGGTGCACCTGGCTGCTGTCTAGACTAGGGAGACACAACAGAGCTCCCGCAATCACACCTTCCCCAGTGAGGTTGGCTGGACTAGAAAAACCAATGGCTGAAGGCAGAAGGTGGTGTGGCCTGCTCAGTTTCAGGTCAGGATCAGGGCACAACTGCTCCCAGATTCAACTTTGGGGAGTTGAATCTGCTTCCACGTGCTAGCCCACACGGCTCCTTCCTTTCTTTAAGGAAGACACAGTGCCTGAAAACATCTTAGTATCTTTGGCCGATGTTTCCCTGGGCCTTGAGCCACGGCCTCTTGAGCCAGGGTTTGACTACTGTTGGTTGAAGCTGAAAGTGGCCTGGTGATGCCTACTTGGCTGTCATTTTGGGGCCTCTGCTGCTGGTTGACTCCCCTGGGAATGGGAGAAGGGGCCTCTCCGGCCCAACGGCTATCGGCAGAGGGAACAACCCAGACTCCTAAGGGGGCAGAGGGAATTGGAGCTTGCAGCCCTAGGTCCAGGGTGTGGCTGTTAGACAAACAATTTAATCTGGGACGGGAGAGATTCAAGGCCACAAAGATGACACTGGGGGGGGGGTGCCCATGAGTCTCTATGCTGTCTTGACAACACCCTTAGAAATCTTGGGGCCCAAGTCCAGAGCAAGGACTAATAAGAGGTTTTGGGGAGTGTTGTTAGTTTGTCAATTTGGCACAAACTAGAGTTCCTCGGGAAGAGGAACTTCAACTGAGGAATTGCCTCTATCAGACTGGCCTGTGGCATGTGCATGGGCATTTCTTGATTAATGACTGATGTGGGTGGTGCCACCCCTGGGCGAGTAAGAGTGAGGCAGTAAGTCACTTTCCTGCATGGCCTCTGCCATGACTCTCTGCCTTGACTCTCAGAGACGGACTATTACCTGGAACTCTAAGACGGAATAAATCCTCTCCTCCTCAAGTTGCCTTTGGTCAGTGTTTTGTCACAGCAATAGAAGGCAAACTAGAACAAAGATACCCGGGGTGGGGGCTGGGGAAGCGGCTGGACCTTGTTCTCTGGGACCTCAGAGTAGTGAGCTGTTCTGCCCCATGGTAGGGGGATCCTTCCCTGCCATGATCCGCCTTGCTGTGTGCTTGCGACAGCATCTCATGTACCCCAGGCTGGCCTTTATAGCCATGGACATCTTTGAACTCTTTACCTCTCCAGTGTTTGGAGTATAAGCATCACCCTACCCATCACAATGCCATGCTTTCTTCCCCATACTCCTCAGGTACTGTAACAGGGTCACCTGGCTGACGTAGCAGTTTAGAGCTGACACGTTCCCCTGCCATCCCACCCATATATCTGCCACCAGTGTTTCTTTTAGGGAACCCCTCTTGCCTCCCTGAGGGTGGTTACGAAGCCTGAGAGTGGCCTGTGGCCCCCAACCCTGAGAACACAGGGAGGTATGGGTGGCAAGTGCATCAACCTCCCCAGCTGTTCTGCTTCAGGCCGGCTGTCTGCCAGCTGCCTGCCCCACCCTGGGCTGGGAATGCCCACAGCCCCTTTCCAGAGTGGGAGCTGCCCCTCTGCACCCAAACCTGCAACCTGACTCCCCCTCCAGCTGTCTGAGGTTCCTTACCACCCACTGTTTCCATGCCTGTATCTATATTCGACTTCCCTAGCTCCTTGCAAAGGCAGGAAGGCTGAGAACACCCCAACACCTCCTGCCCATTTAGTCCCCATGTGCATTTATCAAGAAACTGGGAGCCCAGAGAGGGTATGGAACATGCCTGAGGCCACACAGCAAAGCTATGGAGAACTTGGGCCAGATCCTATTCCAGGCCTGAAACCATTCACTGACCGCGTGAGAGTCTTCTCCACAAGGGCCCATCCTTTGGGCTCAAGAGTGTCTTGTTGGACCACACAGAGGCCAAGGAAACTCTGGTACCTAGTTTCTCTGAGGATTTATCCTGCCTTGACCGGGCAGCTTTCCCGTCCCTCCCCCTTCCCAGACAAGAAAGTGGCTCTGGGAAGTGGCAGGGTTTGTTGCCTGGCCTGAGGCCTCTCCCAGGGCAGTGCCCTTCCTCCACCTTCCCCTCATCAGTGCCTGTAGAGGGCAGGCCGCGGAGGCATGCTGTCACCTCAAGGCCTCTCTCCCCTCAGAAGCAGGAGATGCTCATTTGGGGAATCCAGACCAGCCCAAGCCTGCAGTGGCTTTCCTGCATCCTGGTATGCATACTCAACACCCCAAGTATTCCAGACTTCACTTGGTTGAAACTTGGAGCTGACAAGAAGACGCAGTCAGCACAGGCCGACTGGGAGAGGTGCAGGGAAGGGTGGACTGGGCAGCAGGCTTATCCTGAGGCCGTCTGTATCTACCCTCAGGGCAAATGCCTGAGGCCTCCGCTGCAGCACGGCGCCAGGCCTGCTGAGTGGCTCCGATGGCCTAGGAGGGAATTCTAGACACACAGGGCAGCTGGTGCAAGCTGGGTGCACTCCATTCAGCGTAAATCTTCTCAGTGGCTCTGCTTGTTTCCATGGTGACCTGACAAGTGAAATTTTCCATCTCCAATGCCAAATGCCTGTGGATGAGGCGAAGCCTCCAAGGGTTACCAAATATAGACACAGCCCAACAGGCTGTGGGGCCAGGGCCAGCAGAGGGTTCAGGGTGGGAGCTTGGATCCCCCCTGCCCAGAGGATGCCAGGCTGGGCCAGTCAGACATGTTCTTCCTGAGAGTAGGGCCCTAGCAGGGTAGCTCAGGTCCATTCTTGCCTCCTATTCCTCTGGATTGGCAGTGGGAAGGTCCTAGTGATGCTGAGGCTCCCAGAGGGCCAGGTGAGCATCTACTACAATGGAATGACAAGGCAAGGGATCTAAGCCTGGAGGTGCCTAAGACTTGGCTCTACCTGGCTCTCTGGACCCCTCACTCACTCCCCATCCCTGGAGCTCCTCTCTCTAGGGGCCTCTGCTGGGCAAAGATCTCAAACTGAGGCCTAGTCTCTCTGAGCTCCCCCAAGCTGCTCAGAAAAGCACAGCTATGTATTTCTGCCCCATAAACACTCCCAGAACCTCCCGTCTTGGGATCTGTTGTGGATTTGAAGACAAAAGAAAGGTAGTTGTGGGGTGGACAGGGTTGGTATGACAAAGGGGTATAGGACCAGGGCACTTCAGCAAGCCCCTAGGATCTCCCATGGTACAGGCCTGGGGGCAGAGGGCAGTGCCCTGGGCCCAGCACTCACTCAGTCTGCAGCAGCTCTGGGTTGGGCACACACTGGAGCCGGTGAGAGAGCAGCTGGAAGGCGCTGCTCTGGGGCAGCAGCATGAGCAAGCCGTACAGGGCCTTGATCAGGTACGGGTTGTTCTTCACATCCAGCAGCTGCAGGCGCAGATCTGCAGCAGGGTAGAGGTCAGGGGTCAGGGATCTTGGCCTGCTCTGGAATACACTAGCCCAGATCCCCTGCCTTAGCCGGTCTGGAGAGGACTAGAAGCATCCCAGACCTGCACTGCTAGGCTGAGACATACCTGCCTTAGGTTGAAGCGGTGGCTCCTCCCAGGCCAGCCAGGCCTGGACCCCTTCTCTCACAGAATTTTAGCCATTTCCATGACCTAATTTCCCCCTACCCAGCCATTTGACTGCCCTGTCTAACAGCCCCCTCAGCCTGAGATCCCAAACCTGCTGCTGGGCTAGGCCCACCTCCCCTAGGCTCAGCTGCTGCCTTGGTAATGAGGGCTGGGGGTGGGGGCTTGTAGAATAACAGATTCCCCAGTTGGCTCTGCACGTGCCAGCACGTGAGCTATAAATAGGGTGAGCTGGAGAGAAAGAGTGGATTAGGGCTTTGCTAAGGGAGGGCAGGAGGGAAAATGCCTTTTTGTGAAGTGAGGCGTACACCAAAGCCCAGAGTGTCTGGGAGGTGATTTGGATATCCAACTTAGACATAGCCACTCACCGGCCCACCCCTTCCAGGGCGGGGACATTCTTGCTCTCTGCCCGGGATGTATGTAAACCCTAGGAGTCTGGACCTGCTAGTGGCCAGCTGCATCTCAAGGTGGCTGCAGCCTATCCAGGGCCTGACGGGGAGAGCGGACAGGAGAGCTGCTTCCCTGCCCTCCTGGGCCTTGAGTACCACCGCTCCTCCTGCACCTTAGCCCTTGGCAGACCTTATGTGTAGATAAGGAGCCACACCTTCTAGAGTGGTCTTGCCTCCCAGCAGGAGTTGGGCAAGGAGTCTGGGAGGATGCTGGGAGACTGAAGGGTCAGGCCCTGGTGCCAGGTAGCAGAGGGCTGGGTGGCCTCTCTTCTCCCAAGAGGCAGAAGCCATAGGCACCTATGATATGGTAGCATCCATATCTGATATTCAACCAAATTTCCCAGCAGAGAACTCCTACAATCTTCAGTTTCTGAAACAAAACATCTTGCATGCTGATCACCAACGGCCAAAGTCAATCAACCATGCGTAAATAGTGAAGCTCCCAAAGAACTCCGGATTAGGTTGGGAAAGAAAGGTATGCCCTCCTCTTCCCCCGATTCCACTGTAGTGTCCTTTATGAGAAGCAGTAAATGTGCTTCCAGGGTTCCGGGAACCACTCAAGCAAACTAACCAAACCCAAGGGCTTGTGTGAGCCCTCATTTAGAGCTGGACAGTTAGAAGCCCAGGGCCTATGAGACTGGATGCCAGCTCCAGATAGGCTGTAACTGGGGACTGACTTGCATTGGAGGATGCTTAGCTAGCTGGGAGAGCAGGGAGGAACAGCTGTTGGGTTACAGAAGAGTTGATCTGCACGGTGTGTGCACCGTGAACTTTCTACCATGCACACAGCTCTGGAAAAGCCTGCACCTATTTCCAGCTTTCTTCCCTTTCAGCCTAGAGGACACTAGGCCTGCCTTGCACCTTTGCGGGCAGCACCTTCCCCATCTTATACTCGAGGATGAACTGCTCAGGGCTTCCTCTGGATCAGCCTAGACCTGCCTTCAGGGGAGCCCCTCTACCCTGTGGGGCCGGCCCTCAGGAAGTGAGATGCTAGGCAGGGCATGCTTTGGACAGTTGAGAAGAGGGTTTCCCTCCTGCTCTGCTGTCTCCAGGACCTGAGTCACTGCAGCACCTGCTGCTTGGAGCAGCTGGTCCTTTAACTGCGAGGGAGCTGGGAAGGAAGATCTCTGAGGCCCTGAATTTTCTTTCTGGTCCCAGGGTAAAGGCTTATTGCTCAGACCAGAGATGTTGCCAAGGAGCTGGAGGCCCAGGTGGCCATCTAGGCTAGGAAGGCGGCCTCAGCCAGGGCTGCCTCTGGCTTCTCTACCACCCTGTCAGCACACACGTTACTCCGAGTGCTTTCCGCTTTGGGGAGCAGACGCTGCATGTGTGGAGGTGCCGGGGCTGTTACTCACCAGGCAGCGTCCGCCCATCGGCTCCTGGCAAATGCTATCTCTCCCTCAGGAGAGGGACAGCACAGCTCCTGGGTGAGCAGGAATACATGTAAGGGGTGCCCAGAACCCCAGAGTCAGGGTCTGGTTTTAATACCTGATGGGTTTCATGTCAGCACTGGCTTTGAGGAAGCAGACAAAATTAAGTTCTGATGCCATGCATACCATCCCACTCCAGTTGGCTTATCATCAATCACTGTCATCTCTTACTATTACATTCTTGACAATCTAGAACACTCCTGGGGTCATGGCCCTCTTTTCTGTCTCCAAGTTCAGTCAAGATGGTATCTGAACTTGGCTCTAAACCTTCACTTCTTCCTCTAGGCCAGCTGAAGGCCACAGCAGGTCTGTGGTTAGAGGCAGGGGTCCAGACAAGGGCTCTTACATGTAAAGATGGGACACTCAATCAGCTGCACCAGTTTATCCACCTCTGTGAGGAAGTCCACGGTGACTTCCAGGTCCCCACTGGGTGGGCGGTCAAGGAAAGTCTCCCCATTGAAGTGTCTTTGCCCAAGGAGCGACAAAGGGTGGACCCCAGGGCCTGGGCTCAGAATTCCATGTGTCCCTCCCTGAGACCTAGTTTCCAGTGCACAGCCTGGCTCTCTTGAAGTGGATTAGCACACGAAGAATATACATCTACTCTGCCTTTCTGCCCTTTCTGCTGGGATGTGGCCCAGCTGTCCCTTTCGAATGGGTGCTTGGATTCTGCTCCCACAGCTGTCCTCTGTCTTCCTGGGCTCAGGAAGACATTTGCTGTGGTCCTGTAGCCCTGCAGAGAGGGCTGGGCTACACAGGCTCCTGGTTTTCGCCTGAGAGGATAACTCACTAGCAGGCTAGGGAAGCCTGGGAACTGGCCAGGGGGCTCTTGGTCTCTGGGTCACACAAGGGACCAACAAGGGCAGGCTTAGGCTTTGGAAGGGTGCCAGGCAAGAACACACTGGACCCTTCACTGAAGCCTTCATGGCCCCAGCTTCTGGCCCATTACATCAAGAAGTCAGTCTTATTTCCTGAATATTGTTCTGATCCTAGGTCATAAGTCAGGTTCAAAGATAAGGGTGTTTTGCTTCTCAGGGGTAGATTATGCATGGTGGGCTCCTGGCCCTTCTTGAAGCTTCCAAAGTTTTGCCATGTGACCCAGCCCTGCAGGTCTCCCTAGCATGTTTCTGTAACAGTGCCTTTTCTATCCATAGAAGGGGCTAGCAGGAGATACAGGGAACCGAGGCGTACCCGTCTCTTCTCTCACTCAGCCTGTCTACTCCTGAGTTTTCCAGGCCTAGCTCCCCTTTGGGAGGCTCTGAAGGGCCCTGTTTACTGATAACAGCAGCTTCCTGAACACACCCCACAGCATGCCCAGCGGAAGGCCTGAGTGATGTCTGTCCCAAGCCCCGGAAGCTGAGGCAGGAAGATGGCACCAGGGCCACTCCTGCCCTCACGGGGTGTGTGGGGGGGACTGGATGGCAGTGAGAGGATACAACTTCTGGATGAGGTCGTAGGCATGCCGGTAGTTCTGGGTGAGGAAGCAGAGCGACACCGTGGTGACTGGGTTGTGGCACCAGGAACGGTAGAGGCAGCAGAAGAGGTTCTGGCTTTCCTGGGGGAGAGGAGTAGCAGTTAGAAGGCTGGGCTCCCGTCCCTGGTCCACATAGGACCTGGGGGGGACCTCGAGGGGGCTGTGACATGGCTCTTGGGGGCAGCTGGGGTGCCAGCTCAGCACTGGGCTGTGTTTGGCAGCCCGGCTGGGAACGAGTTGTCACAGAGGAAACGCTGACGGCTCCTCAGACCCTGTCATTAGCTCCTGGCCTCACAGGGCCACGTGGTGGTGGCAGCAAGGGCCTACTCAAAAGCGAGCCGACCCTTTGTAAGCTGGCACTTTTGCCTCTGGCAAAATGACATAATTGTCTCTCAGAACTGTGGTTCCAGAGCCTGGGGCTGGGAAGAACTTTCCTCAGGGGCCAGGCTCCTCTGTCTAGCCTCACATCCCACCTTCCCCTACTTTGGCAGCCTACCTCATGCTCTCAGTGTACCAGGAAACCAGTCCTGAAGCTGAGCCCACACTTAGGGAGCCCTTGAGCCTGAAGAAAATTCTTAAGGCCTCTGCGAATGTCTGCAAGGAACCACAGGAGGAAGGCAGGGCTGTGGCCAGGATCGTTCCAAGCCACTGGGCCTCAGATGTCCTCATAGACAAGGGCTTAAATGTCCTTGAGCTTCCCAGGGAAGGGTTGAGGTCATGCTGGACAGGGGGCAGAGGGAAAATGACCCAAACCCAGACTGGGAAATGAATTCCTGGCACTCCTGCATCCATGATGGCATTGGTCCCTGTAAGCTGAGGGAAGCCCAAGGTCTCGGCCAAATCATGTGGGCCTGTGAGCTGCATGTCTCTCTGATCTTTCTGATCTACCTTTGAGCATCCTTACCCAAAGCCTGGGACAGGAAACAATGAGATATTATGGCTGATGACAGGCATTTTATAAGACAGATGTGTCCAGCTGTGGGAGTGGGGCCAGAGCAAGGAGGAACACAAGGAGCACAATTAACTCTTTGTTTCCCAGCAGTATTTCAATTTTGACCACGAGAAGGGCCTTTGCTGGGCAGAGTATCCCAGAACCAGCAGAGCCTGTTTCCAAAGGAATAGTAAAAGGTGGATCAGGAACTGGGCAGAGCATGTGGACCTGGCCGGGGGCAGGGAAGACTCTCAGTTTACCCACCCCCTGTGAGCTCAGGGACCAGCTAAGGAGTGAGCTGAGTGCCTGTGCACCCACAGGCCTAACACTGAGGTCAGAGGAGTACCAGAGTCTTCAGGTCCTTGAGCTGGTTTCTCAGCTGGAAGAGCTCAGTGGAGGTGAGCAGAATAGTATTGAGGGTGTGCACCATGGTGGACGCGAACTTGAGGTCCTCCTCCCGCAGCAGGATGTCTGCCATAGAGTGGAAGATGTTCTCTGCATTCAGCAGGAGGCAGAGCTGCCTGGAAAACAAACCAGAAAAAGTCACACTATGGAGACTTTTCAGGTCCTAGAGGAATCTGCTCTTTTCTAGGGCTGTAGTGTACGTGGGAACGGGACTTCTGAGCACAGAGAGCCCGCCCTTTACTTCCCAACCTACCTGGATCCAGAAACCATGGCTTATATGCTCTATTTGTGTCCCTCCTCCCCTACAAACAGTCAGGCCTCTGGCTACCAGGGATGCACCAGGATGCCTTCCTAGGATTTCACACACACCATCAAATCTATGTTATATCGTGTGTCTCCCATATACATCTTTATCTTTATCACCACACACAAATACCTCCACACACAAATCAGAAAAGCCCCCCCCTCCCCCCCGGGGGGGGGGTCAGAGTATCTGTGCTGTTCAGCTGTACCCTTAGCTAGAGGGATTCCTGCAGGTCTCTGGGCCCAGAAGGATTTGGGGACTGAATGGACCCTGTGAAGCACCTGGACCACAGCAGTGCTGGCTCCACTGGCCCCCATATATTTCTTTTGGTAAGAGCCTTGGGGTAAGGACTAGGCCCTAAGAAAGAGGCTCTGTCACCAAAGAGGAACCTAGAGAATGAAGAAAAGCAGGTTTCCCAGGGTCCCTGGGGCAAGCTGAAATAACAGCAGACAAGCACATTTTGAAGTCAGACTAGGAGGAGCCTGCTGGTGGAGCAGAAGTGGGCAAGGGGCTAGTGAGCAGGTGAGTGTGCGTGCCTTCTGTTGGATAGGATTAGTGGCTCAAGATACCTTCCTTGTCTCATGCCTCTGGTCTGGGGCTGATGTCCTCTGCCTGCCTGACTGCCCTAAAAAGTAGCACCACAGATTAGACAAGGGGCAGAGGCTTCACGGTACTGTGCACTGAAGGACAGGAGCCACGCTTTGAGGCTACAAGCCTCAAGAAGTTTCAACAAGGCTACTTACTTCCTGCCAGGCACTGACCTTGTATGGAACTTGATTAGGCTGAATTTCTTTCTTCTCTGTGAACACCAGTCATGGCTTTGCAACTAGGCTTGAGGTGATTCTGCCACATCCCCAGCCAAAAAACCCAGAGTATTTGGTAATGGAGAGGCCAAACCATGAAGCACAAACAGCTCTAGCCTAGATCCAATGGAAGCAGCAGGCTTGGGCATGGTGGGGTGGGGGTGGGGCTGGAGGAGGGAGGACCCGTGAACAGGGGTTCCTGGATCTCCACTGCACACTCACCCAGGTGCTAAAGGCCACTTCCATATGGGCGGGCAAAGGCTTTGTGGCTTCAAACCCAGCCAGTATCTCTGTACAGACATTTCTTAATCTTTCAAATGGGGGCAATACTTCTCTAAAACGGGGGAGTAACCAGAAGGCAGGTGGGAAGACATCTCATGTGAGGTAAACAAGGGTTTGGTGCATGGCACCCAGGGACAAAAGCCTCCACCACGGTGCAGATGACAGTCAGCAGGCAGGTGGTAGCCCTTCTGTAGAAGTCAGACAATTTTCCTGCCCCCATCCACCCTTGGATGAGCCCTGTCTCCAAGGCCATGGGACAGAAATGTTCAAAAAGGGCAGGCTAGCGAGGGAAAGAGAACCGACAAATGGTCACAAGTGTCTGTCGCCGGCAGCTGCTGCCGTCTCCATGACAGAGACCAGCAGCTGAATGGCTGCTAGGCAGTGCTTTCCAAGGATCCCAGGTCAGCCAGGCTGCGACTTGCAGCAGCCGGAGGGAGGGTTAGGGATGGTTTGGAGGGACAGGCAAGGCTGAGAAGAAACAAGAAGGCACCATGGTCTCCTGCTGTCCCAGAGAACCTGGGGCACGCTGACAGTGTTGCAGGTCAGGGTGGTAGAGTCTTCTGGAAACACTCTTTTCTTCTGCCACTGGTTCCCCTCGACTTCACCTGACTGTGCCACCCCCACCCCCTTCTCTCTGATTTTGTCTCCCAGTGGGCTCGAGTCTCATGAATATATTCAAAGTGGCCTAGAGTCAGTGACGTCCACATGTGCCTCTCCTGCCCTGGACTCTAGTCCCTGTGGATGTCTCCCAGGCATTTTGAGAGTCATAGGACCACAATGAGATTCTTGGTATCCTTGCAGATTCACCTTCCTGTGGTAGTAATCTCCATTCTCCTGCCCACTCAGTTTCATGATCCCCAGCCCTTCATCCGGGTCCAGCCATGGGCTCAGGGCTTGGCCTCTGAGCATCTCCCACTTCAGTATCATCTCCTCTGGACTACCACTGCCCAGGGAAAAAGCCAGCCATGTCCTGTTGGTCAGTCCCAAGACATTTCTCATTCTGACTCCCTGGTCATTTAAAAGAAAATTATTTATTTAAAAATATTATTTTTAATTGTGTGTATATATGTCTATGTCTTAGCACAGGTGCCCATGGAGGCTGGGGACCTCAGATGCCCCTGGAGCTGTAATTACAGATAGTTGTGAGATGCCCAATGTAGATGCTGGGAACCAAACTTGGATCCTCTGTAAAAGCAGTATGAACTCAAAGAGCTAAGTGTCTCTCCAGGCCCTCCCACACCAACTCTGACAAATCTAAATGGCAGACCCAAGCTGGCCCCTCCCCTTCTTAGGGCCTCATCTGTGACTTCCAGTTGGATCTACTGTGAAGTCCAGCTTCAGCATCCTTTGCTAGGGACACCTTAGCCTATGAGCTTGTCTTTTGATGTGACCTACTACATCATCGAGGTCTCGTGTCCACTGTGTCCTGGGGAAGCCTGGGTCTGATGTGCCTTCTCTGCCTGCCAACCTCTTCTCAGGGCAGGTCCTATTCCTTCCTGAGCACCGTCACTGCGGCTGCACTTCTGCCAGGCTCTTGCCTCTCACACTAGGGCTTGTCTGCGACCCTCAAGTACCTTGAACTAAGAGGGCCTGATGCCCAGCAACTGCTTCCTCACCGCAGTTGGATGTTGCTGCACGAAGGGACCTTGCTCATCGTGTTCAAGGGCTTCATGTACAGAGGCTGGGGAAACGGCTCAGTGGTTACAGTGTGTGCTATGTAAGTGCGAGGACCTGGATCTGGATCCCCCAAAATGCATGTAAATGCCAGGTGGGTGTGATGGCCAGCCTCAGAAGGTGGAAATGAGATCCTTAGAGGAACCTAGCCAGACTAGCCATATCAGCAAGCTCTAGGTTTGAGAGAACCCACCTTAGTGAATATGATGGAAGTCCCAATACCAACCTTGGGTCTCTACATGCATATGCACACACACGCATGCCCACACATGAACAAAACATGCCTCCCCACTACAAACAGATGAAAAATAATAAAAAGGGGCATGGACAGGCCTGCAGGTGTGTTGTTCCCAATTCTGGCACTTCCCTGTTCACCCACAGGCAGGCTCCTACATGCTGTCAATGCTGTTTGGCAGACAACAGGCATCTACACTTAAAATCACCCCTACACCAAACAGGCCAAACCAGGGTTGTCCTGCCCTGTCTCCTGACTCTCTGGGGAGTCCAGTTTATCCTAGGAAGACTCCAGAGCATGCGCTTCCATGATAGCCTGAACAGCGGGCCAGAACACACAGCACATGGCTATCCTCTGGGCTTTGCTACGGTGATGAAACGCTTGAAGCAGCAGCAAAAGGTTTCTTTGGCTCGTGGTTCTGGAGGCTCCAGTACAAGCCTGGAGGCTCTCTGAATTTGGGCCTAAATTGGGGATGCTCTCCCATGTTGGGAGTAAAGGGTGAAGCAAAACACTTCCATCAGAAGCAGGAAGCAGAGACTGAGGTCCTACAAACCCCTCTAAGGGCATGCTCCAAGTAACCACCCAACAGCACCACCCTGGGGACCAAGTCTTGACCACAGCACCTTCCCACCAGGAGTCTCCCTTGTGAAAGGCCAGAGTGGGGAGTGGGAAGCTGGGAACAGGTCCCTAGAGAGCAACAGTGGGAAGCCCCTGCCAAGGCCTGACTCTGATGAGAACCTTGTCCTGGCAGAGCCTGGCGGGCTGCACTTCCGGCCAGCAGCTGCCAGGGCTCCTGCTGGGGTGGGGTTTCTAGTCCTTCAGCTAGAGCTTGTGGCAAGGGGAAGGAAGCAGAGGTGGGGGCCAACACCTGCCATGCCACTGTGTCTCAGAAGTGCCAAAGGACAGGAGTAACAGTGGCAGGCCAGGCCAGGGAGAGAAGAGCAGCTTCTGTCCTGTCCAGAGTGCCCACTGTGCCAAGGTGCTGCCCCAGAAACCAGAGGACGGGAGGGAGGTGAGCCTGCACAGGGCGCAGAGGGGTGGGTGGGTGGGAAGCTTAAAGTCAGAATGGGACGCTGTGCCTCCTCCATCAGGAAGCACCACAGGACCGACTGCACAGGCAGCCACAGCTCCCATGTGCCTAGCACTGGAGTGTTAACAAGGCCTTCCTGTGGCGTCCTGCAGTTTGCCGAGAAGAGCAGTCTGAGGTTCAGGGGGGACCCAGGCTGCTGGTCGGGTCACTCGGATGAGTGGGGAGGAGAAACGGAGACTTGAGAACTAGAAGAGTCAGCTTTCTGAGCTGAGTTCCTCCTCGTCTCTCTGCCTCTCCTGTGCCTGTCTGCCCAGCGGAGGCCTGGCAGATGGCTGCTTGCAGGGCTGCTGCGTCATCACTTCTCTGCTGATCCCAGCCCGGCTTGAGCTGCCTGCTTGGCTCTCGAGCATAGCGTCAATAATGGAACACAGCTTGCAAGCATTACACATTTGCCCGTATTTTTTAATACCCATATTAAAGTGCTATTCATCATGAGACAATGGCCTGGGAAGTGCTTGGGGACAAGGCAGAGAGGTGGAGTGTGTGTGTGTGTGTGTGTAGGGGGAACTGAACAGGGTCTGTGAAGGGTCCTCTTGTGCTAACCTGGACATGTCCATGTCTGTGTCCTTTCAGTAAGGAGCCCCTGGTGTGGGACTGAGACTCAGGAAACGGCAGGAGGGAAGTGGCTAGATATGTGTGTGTGGGTCATGGCCACTCAGGAAGGGTCTCACTAGGGAGCAGTGTGCTGTTGGCCTCTAACTGGGGCTCCATGCCTACTACGCACAGCC